ACCTCTCTCTCCCTTGGCTTTTCATACTTTTTGTTTATGCTTTGTTTATGCTACAGTGGAATGGCCCATTGAGATGACACTCTGTTGGAAAGTTCTATTATTTTATCAAAGTCGCTGGAATGCACCATAGAACTCAGAACATATATGTTATCAACAATATTCTCAGAAATGTGTACATCTGCAGTTTCACAATAACCTTTTTTCTTTTCCTAATACAATTTTAAAGTGCTATCCCTCACCTCAAAAGATAAGCTTCCCAGTGCTAAATGTAAATTTATCATCATGCATTTGCAGCAATTCAGAATTCTGGTACCTAGAAGTTCCAAAAACTACATTCAGAAAGAAGAGTAACCTTATAAGATGAAGACACTATTCCTTTTCTTATTTAAACCTCCTGTCACTCGGCATTATATATAAAAATTAAAACCATGTTCTGTTCAATGAAGCTTATAAAAAATACTTTCCAAGAAAGTGATTTTTCAATCTCATTTATGAATAGTATTTTGTTTATATTTACTTTGCCATAGCTTTTGAAAATATATTCTTTTGGTCTGTAATTGATAAATGAATGGGATACATATTAAGATGAACTAAAGTCGACTTTATGTGTAAAGGAAGAGGATGTGGAGTTTGGAGCCATGGAAGCAGTTGAAGCAGGATGAGGTGTTGAGGTCATAGCACCCTGCACAGGCAGAGGCCCCCCAGTCACAGCTCAAAACTGGGACTGAGACCACTAGAGAGGCTACTTCGTGCCAAACCGGGCCTCAGGCCCACTTCTCCTGACTTAATCATTCAGTATTCTTTCCCCTACACTGCACTGAAAGAACATAACAATGATCAGTTTGTACGTTCTGAGACCATGGTGGAAACGTGGGTGTGGTCTCTAGCACAAGGCCATATCTGTCAGTCCTGGGCTCCACCCTCTGCTTTCCTAGTTCTCCAGCCAATAGGGCATCTGACTCCCAGGGGCACATGAACACAACGCATTCAGCCAGTGCCCCTTACCTTGCCCACATTGCTTCCCCGAGGAAGTTGCTAAGTGAACGTCTACCTTGGCCATCTTATGAGAAGATGTAAATTGTTTTCAGCATTAACTCCTTCCTTATAGTCCATATTCTTTGCTCCCCATTTAGGCTACAGTTTCCCTTTTTTGTGTGAAAACACTTTGTCACCCCTCTTCTCAGTAACCTCCATGGATGCCTATCTCAGAGTAAAAATCAGACTGTAATTGACCCCCCCATGTCACCTAGTGTCTGTTACCTCTCTGAACTCATCTAAATCCTCAGGGTCTAGAACTGAGCCTGGCAGATAGAAGACACTCAGCATTCAGTGATTAGAAGAATAAAAACTAAAGGTCTCTTTACTTCTACAATTTTTTTAGACTAATTTTATCATTTTCTTGTTGGTAAAAACCAACCCTCTCCTTATTCTCTGTTCCTTTCCTCAAGCCCCTCTCCCTCCAGCCCTCCACTATAAATGCATTCAGTGATTAGAAGAATAAAAACTAAAGGTCTCTTTACTTCTACAATTTTTTTAGACTAATTTTATCATTTTCTTGTTGGTAAAAACCAGCCCTCTCCTTATTCTCTGTTCCTTTCCTCAAGCCCCTCTCCCTCCAGCCCTCCACTATAAATCTACATGTTTAATAATAATAATAATCAAAGATGACTTTATTGAGCTCGTATTCTGTGTCAGGGCCAGTGCTCAGTGACGTCTTATGTGCTTTTGAGCTAGATGTACTAGGATTTAAATTTTTCACATTAGGGGACAGAGATTAAGCTAACTTCTCCAGAGTTCCACAGCTCACAAGTGGTGAAGTGAGGACTTGAACTCGGGTCTCTGACTTTGAAGTCAGTGTACTTAGCCCCCCGTGTGATCCTGCCCCACGGCAGGTGGCTGTTGCACACTCTCTGGAGTTGTGACCTCCAGATTTTCCTCACCTCTTTATCCTGGACTCATACTCTATCTTCTGTTTGGTCATTTCCTGTTTCAGGCTGGAGACTAAACTGTGCAGAGCACTGTGGTTGCTGGAGTTGTTACCAACAAATGTCTCACTGTTGTCGCTGCTGCTGGTGGCACGACTACTTCGACCTCCCACACTCCTATGGTCACTTTTGTTTTCGTAGTCCCCGGGGTGGGAAAGGTCATCCTGCGGAGGCCCATCCAAAACAGGGTCCTCAAAGTTCCCCCCATAAAAGTCTTGTTCTGGGCAGGTGGTGGTGGAGGAGCGACAGGAGTTGGAGTTCTCCGGAAGCGAGATTTCACAGGAGGAAGTGGACCAGGTGGCACTGTCGACACTCTGCTTGTCGTCAAGGTTCAACATGGAGAACTGCTGATGGACATTGTCGTAGGTGGAGAGCCTATTGTGCTGGCCTGACTCTCCGGCTTGCTCTTTCTGTTTGTTGTCTCTCAGGGTCACATAGCCGTTGGGCAGCCAGCTCATGCTTCGACCATTCATGGGGTTTCCAAGCGTGTCGGGGTTCAAAATGCCCATGCGCACTGTTCCATTCTGTACACTGTGGGTGCCCATTTTGGTACCAGACCCCTTCAGCAAAGAGGTCCTTCTGGCCTGTAAGCTCCCATTGGGGGTTGTTTGGGTTTTCTCAGGACCTTCTGCATTACTGCTGCTGAAGGACCCATTGGTGACGATCCCACTACCCTTATTGAAGGCTGGGTTCTTTTTGACCATGAGAGGGGGGCTCCTAGAGACATCCAGCTTGTGGACACTGTTCCTTGGGCTATTGGTTTTGCTGCCTGGGAGAGCCGTGGGGGATCCGTTGTCCATGCTGCTTCTCTGGGGAGACTCAGACTGGTCCCAAGAGCAGCGCCTGCCAGGGCTGTCCTTGGTATTATTATTCTCCTTGTTCTGTAACTGACCCATGGTGGCTTTCTTTGGAATTTCATTGTTGTTGTTGCTCACCCCATCTTGGGACTTGCTTTGTAGGTCTGTCTCTGTGGGGAAGAGGCGATCCTGTTTGCTAATCATCATTGACATCAACTGCTGGACCACCACAGTGCCTGGAATTGCACAGAAAACAAAGTAGTGTGAGTGAGACAGTTTTGGTTTATTTCCTATTTTCGATGTGACTCTTAAAGAAACACATTAAGGTGAACATTCAGCATTATTAGTAGTGGTGCCAAACTATAGTCTTAAGGATGATAGCAATAGAAGCTAAAATTTCTTGGGCTGGCTGGTGAGCTCAGTTGGTTAGAGTGCAGCCTTATTTCTTGAGCATTTACTCTGTGCCGTGAACTGTGCAAAGCACTTTACTTTTATAGTTTAGTTGGATTTTAAAATAAATTATGAATACGTATTGCTATTATCACTGTGTTGTAAAGGTTAAGTAACCTAACTAGGGTCACATAACTATTGAGAATCAGACTCAGGCTTGAACCCAGAGTTGTCTAGTTCCAAAGACTGCACTCTTAATCATTATACAACATTTCTTGCAAGTTTGACATCGAATTATGAGAAATATTTCTTAGGAGGGGTCATTGTGACCTCGTGTGACAATTGGTTCAAACCACCAAGATACTTTCGAGGTATCTTCAAATAGAACCCTATACAATCTCTAGTAGACATGTGGTCTGTCTTTCCAATACAGCAAGGCAATGAAGTTTCACATGACTTTTGCTCACCATTCAAAAGCTTCGGGGCATTTTAGGTGTCATCAGCTAGAATGGTGTAGTAATGACCTCCAAAAATCCTCTCCATAAAAATATCTAGCAAAAGTTTTCCGAATCAACATTTTCAGTACTCTGGAAATTAACTAATGGCTTGAAGCAATCTGGAGTGTCTTTATTCAAGAAAAATGGCTGAATCTTGTGCAGCCAACTGGGTTGTTTAAACTTGCCCTATTCCCATTCTCCTCTCCCCAGCTTTGCAAAAACCATGAAAAACAACAGTCCACAACCACAGTGTAATCCAGTAGTCTGGCAGTTGCTGGAATGGGCAGAGCAAGGTGGGAACTTCTTCAAAGCTCCATTCCCAGAGAATTGTCAGTATTTGACCTATCTGGTGGTTCCCTGGAAGACCCTACTTGGAGGCTTGTCTTTATTTGATCTGACTAGGAACTTGACCAGTGTGAACAGCCTTTTCCCCTAGGGGTATTTGTGAAAAATAATGAGTAGCACTTTTGTTTAACATCATGGCTACCTGAAGCAATGGACAACAGTTGGGACAAATGATAGGCTAGTTGAAAGCTTAGAAAGAAAATCTGGGGGGCCGGCCCCGTGGAGCACTCGGGAGAGTGCGGCGCTTGGGAGTGTAGCGGTGCTCCCGCCGCAGGTTTGGATCCTATATAGGGATGGCCGGTGCACTCACTGGCTGAGCGCGGTGCGGGTGACACCAAGCCAAGGGTTGCATCCCCTTACCGGTCACAAAAAAGACATAAAAAAAAAAGAAAGAAAGAAAATCTGGGGAATGAGATTTCTATAGGGGGTTTTGAAATGCTCTGATATATTCCTGGAAATCTAGAAGGCCACATGCACACTTAGAGTTATGTGCATGCCCAGGGCTGTGTGCATGTTCAAGAAAGAAGTGAGAAGTTCCTAAGCTCTCACCACTGGCTGACCTTGAGTCTCTGCACAAGCAGAAACTGAAGGTGAGGGCAGAGTCGTAAACTGCCTGGCTGAGCGTTGAAGGGTAGACACAAAATCCACACAAAACCCCTTGGTAAAGACTGAGAAACTCCCTGGCTGCAGGCATTTAAGGGAATTTCTATCTGGTTGTTAATTGACAACTAAGCAAAACAAGCAGAGACTCTTCAATGGCTGCACATAACTAAAAGTATGGACTTTATGGAATACATAGAGACACTAAACAACAACAACAACAACACACAGCAACAACAACAAACCCTAAGGAGGGGGAGATTCTGATATCTAGAGTTCCCACATATTATTAAAAATATCCAGTTTTCAATAAAAAAATTATGACACGCAAATAATAAAGTAAATATGGTTTATACTTGAAGGAAAAAAAAAAAGACTGACTCTGAGGAAGCCCAGACATTGTACTCCCTCGACAAAGGCTTTAAATTAGCTATTTTAAATGTTCCAAATAACTAAAGGAAACCATGTCTAAAGAAACCAAAGGAAAGTAAGAACAATGTCTCACCGAATTAAGAATACTAATAAAGAGACAGAAAGTATAAAACTAGAACCAAATAGATACTCTGGAGTTGACAAGTACAATACTGAAAAAAATTAGTAGAGGGGATCAACAGATTTGAGCAAGCAGAAGAAAGAAACAGCACACCTGAGGACGCATCAACTGAGGTTATACAGTCTGAAGAACACAAAGAAGGAAAAATAAAGAAAAATGAACAGAACATTCTAAACCTGTGGGACACCATTAAAGATTACCAGCTATGTGTAATGATATTCCCAAAAGGAGAGGAGAAAGAGAAGTGAACAGAAAGAAACAGGGACTGGAAACTTCCCAGTCTGATGAAAAATAATGAACGTACACATCCAAGGAGCTTGATAAATTCCTAGTAAGGTAAATACAGAGACATCCATACCTAGACACATCATAGTCAGATTGTTAGAAGCTCAAGACAAAGAGAGAATCTTGAATGCATCAAGAGAAAGTGATTCATGTTTAAGGGACCGTCAACAAGATTAACAGCTGTTTCATCATCAGAAGCCATGGTGGTTAGAAGAAAATGCAATAAAATTTTCAGTGCTAAACTAAAAATACTGTCAAGCAAGAATTTTATATCCAAAAAAAAAAAAATCCTTCAAAAATGAAGTAGAAATTAATACATTTTCAGATAAACAAAAACTGAAAGAATATGTCACTAGCAAGCCTGCTCTACAAGAACTACAAAAGTTTCAGGGAATTCTAAACAGAGAGAAGACCTTCATGAAAGAAAACCATTCTCTCACACAGATGAAAATACTACAGTTCCCATTTTATACTCATATTTTTACTCTTGACTGAAAAGTATGAATTAGAAATCAATGCCTTATCTAGTTACAGACAGTAAAAATAACTCAAATAATAGTGGGTAGAAATGTTGATCTATTATTAAATGTATTATTTTAAAAAATCAATTGTTAGATCATATTCTATGGTGTATGAGCTGAAATCTCAAAATATATTTTTACATATTTCATTTGATGTATAAACTGAGATTCATCCCCTAAAACTGGCTTCAACTAGACTTGTAGACTAATTTTTCAGCTTGGGACCCCCAATTCCCTAAGAATCTTATTCAGTGTTAATTTTATTCATGTATCTACAAGAAAGTAGTATGGACTAATGCAAACATCCCTTGTCTTTGCTATGGCTTGAATCGTATCAGTTTGGTATGTTAGGTATGTTTGTAAAATGTTGATAAAAGCTCCTAAGAGTAGTCTCTGATAAATATATAGAGAGAAACAACTTATATTTTAGTAGTTAGTAAATGTAGTTTCTATATAAATACTTAAAACATGAAATTTGGAGAAGAAAATGATGACAAGAGATTTTGACAATTCAGACTTCCACTGAAACAGCTGCTAATTGAGAGACTATCAGTAAGTAGAAGCCTGACCTGGGGCGAGGCTGCTCTTTAGCTGAAAGCAATACCTGGGCAATATAATTCCAAGTCAAATTTTGAATAGAAAAAAAAATGTTATATCTACCTATATTCTGCACACTTTTTCCTGTGATGATTCAAAACTTATAATACCTTTAGATCGATTATCTGCAATGTGCCAGGTCTGCTACTAGACCAATGTTGCTCAAATTTTATTGTTCATGCAAATTACCTGGAGATCCTATTGAAATGCAGATTCTAATTCAGTAGGCATTGCATGGGACATGATATTTTACATTTCCAACCAGCTTTCCCATGACACGAACAATAACAGAGTTTTAGCACTGGCATCATCTGAAAGCTTCAAAATTTCAGATCCCACTGCAGACCTTTTGAACCAGAATATGCATTTTAACAATATTCCCAGGTGATTGCTGTGTGTGTTAGAAGCACTGTAGTGGATGGAAATGTTTCACTTATATCTTCCAAATTAAGTTTTTCAAAAGTCTGTGAGATAGGGCTTAACATTTTTTTTTCAGATGAGAAAAGTGAGGGTCAAAAAGGTTAGGCTGCTTGCTTAAGGCCACACAGATGATAGGCAACTGTGAAGGTTAATTCTATCAGCTTCCCTGCTTTTGAGGCCTTTGGATTTGGAATGAGCCACGCTACCAGCACCCAGTTTATAGACGGCCTATTGTGGGACTTTTCTTCATAGTCACGTGAGCTAATTCCCCTAATAAATCCCTCTCATATAATTATAACATATCCTATTGATTCTGTCTCTTTGGAGAACCCTGACTAATACAGTGACAAAGGTGAAATTTAATACTCAGTCTTCTTATTCCAAATTTGTGCATTTGTCCTCCTATGTTTCGGCTTCTGGAATTTAGAAGTGTAGTAGTATTAAGTAAAGGAGGTAGTTCTAAATAGAAAACTATGTAAAAGACAACTATCTATTGAAATGTCATCAATTATTACAGAGTTGTGGGAGAAAAAAGACCAAATTAAATGAATTGTGTCATATACCCATCTTTTCTGTTTTTGTAACCTCTGAATTTGTCATTCTATTTTCAATGCATGTAGTAATGAATCATGCAAAGATTTTAGAGCAGTTAAAGTAACACTGTCACCATTATGTGTATTTAATGCTATTTTACTATTTGTCCCTATGACAGACACATTTGCCATATGACATACACACTTTCAAAGGTTTGCAATTTCTATTACATATGACTTGGCCTAGTATTTTGGGAAAATGGGCCTTTTTCCCATCACTGGAATATTAATATTCAAAAATTAATGCATCACTGCCTCCCATCATAGCTATAAACTATGTGGGACATTTAATTAATTGAAGAGTGATATCCCCAAGGTCTTCACGATCAGTTTGTGAACAGGCCAAAGTGTACCAGCCACAATTATAGAATGAGACTCAGGGTCCTTGAAATTTAGAACTCTCTTGTATCTTGGGAGGCTTTAATTTCATTGAGT